GTGCTATTATGTGTGTGCTGGGCGCTATGCAGGTGATTGCCGTTTCACTGAATCCTCTAACGATTCCGGAGAACCAGCACTCACCTACCAAAGGACAAAAGGGAGGGGGCAGGGGAAGGACAGGAAGGCTGGCACTGTCTTAAGAGCACATGGGAAGCACAAAGACCACTTCAGAGGAAGGAATGAAGACAGTGGACCAGGAAGAGCCATGCTGGGAGCACGGTCTGTTCCCCGCGTGCCAGGTGGGCCCTGTGTGTACCCCCGGTTCTCACGGAACAAGCGGGTGTTGGCAGGGTAGGGCACTGACTCTGGAGAGGAACTCTCACTACTGCTGTCCTCTTGGTTTGTGAGCCACCCGTGTCCACAAGGTACTCGGGGACCAACAACGTGGTTCACAGTGGGCCTCACACCCTCCCCCGCCTCAGCTCACCCTGGGAACTCACGCTGCCGGGCGCACACACACAAGTTGGGCACTGGGGACCCGAAATCCCGTGAGGCCACACAGGTTCAATCTGTGGGGAAACCAAAGATGCTAACAAGTAATTCAATAATGCCACTAGAGAGACGAGGCAGTGTCATTAAGCACGCTATCCCTGGTGCTGAAAGAACTGAGACCCTAACGAAGTCCTTCGGACACAAAAACACGGTCATTTTACTTCCTTTACCCTCCTGGTAAAGGTGACACACATTCCCGCGTTCCATCTTTCCTCCGCCTCTGCTACCGCTCATAATCCTTCCACCGAAACGGCTTTCTGTGAGCTCACTGTGACCCCCCTGCCCATCAGCACGGCCTTATTCAGTATGTCTTCCCAATTTCCTCAGTACTGACGCGCGGTCACCCTGTCCCAGCATCTCCACTCCTCCAGAGGGAACACAACACCCTCCTGGTTTCCTTTGACATCCTGGATTATTTCTCAGGCTCCGACAGTGGCTCCCTTCCTCCTGTCCCCAAACTGTGGGCTCTGCACAGCCCTGCTCTTCCCCTGTCCCACTTTGTGCACGCTCATCCGTCCACAGCTATAACTGTCCCTTCCCTGACTTCCAAACTTCCTTCTTTCCCTCAAGAACCTTCTCTCCCACGGACCAGATCCTGGATGTGCCCCTGGAATGTCAAGCTCAAAATACTGAAAAAGAATCTCGTATTTTGGGGTGCCTGGGTGGCTCAGTGGGTTAAAGCCTCTGCCTTCAGCTCAGGTCATGATCCCAGGGTCCTGGGATCGATTCCCGCATCGGGCTCTCTGCTCAGCAGGGAGCCTGCTTCCTCCTCTCTCTCTCTCTGCCTGCCTCTCTGCCTACTTGTGGTCTGTCAAATAAATAAATAAAATCTTAAAAAAAAAAAAAGAATCTACTAACACCACCACTCATGTGCCTAGGTATTCAGAATTTGGGAGTAATCTGAATTTCCCTCCTAATATATCCAATCTTTGGTCAGATCTTTTTCTTTTTTTTTTTTTTTTAAGTAAGCTCCATGCCCAGTGTGCAGCACAATATGGGGCTTGAACTCAAGGCCCTGAGATCATAAGCAGAGCCGAGATGGACAGCTGGACAGACACTCAACCGACTGAGCCACCCAGGTGCCCCTTTGGTCAAGTCTTACACTTTGTCCTCACTGCTGTTTCCCTCATCAGATTTCAGTACCTAGACGACCACAGTCGTTTCCTGTAAGCCCTGTCTCAGCCATTCCAATGCATTATATATTCTTTAAAGAAATATTAATTATGGGGGTGCCTGGCGGGCTCAGTGGGTTAAAGCCTCTGCCTTCGGCTCGGGTCACGATCCCAGGGTCCTGGGATAGAGCCCCGCATCGGGCTCTCTGCTCAATGGGGAGCCTGCTTCCACCTCTCTCTCTGCCTGCCTCTCTACTTGTAATCTCTGTCTGTCAAATAAATAAATAAAATCTTTAAAAAAAAAAAGTTAAAAAAATACTAATTATGTTGTGTATGGGGTAAGTGCTAGGTACTAGGACACAGTGGTGAACATGTATCATTTATCATTTTCCTATGATTAACTGGCTCTCCCCCACCCTCTGAAAGCTTATCCTCCAATGGGAGAGCCAATTACGGGGCAACAACTGTGGAGGTGACTGTTTGGGGAAGAAGTTAGGGCACGTGGGAAGGTATGAAGACAGAGTGGAAGGTGTGGAGCTGAAAGCAAGATCTCCAAGGAGTGGGGGCAGTGTGTGAAGTCAAGGACATGGGAGGGAGGCACCAGATGAAGCCCACCCAATGTGTGGATGACCGTGTCATTTATTGTTCAAACTGAGGCACTTTTTCAGGACAAATACTAAACTAGATAGGATACCAGATAACAGATGCCAACTCTGATATACGTGAGGCGTCTGGAGCAATCCGCACCTTATCCTCACAACGATAATGCCACAGAGGTGGTCAAGCATGATCGGCTTTGATAGGGTCAGATTTGCACATTCTGACGAAAACTGAAGGGGGCAGGGAACGGAGTAAGATGCACAAATGGAGACAGGAAGATGAGTTAGCACAGTCAGAGGAAAACAGGACGCCGGCTGCACTACAAGATGGCAGGAGTAGAAAGAATTAGATAAATACAAGAGACATTTAAAAGGAATACACAAGTCTTTGCCGTTGACCGTGTGTGGGGGGTGAGAAGGGTTAAGGATGGCTCCCCTATGCTGGCTGCGGCAACTAGGTGGCTGGTGGTGCCAACGACTGAGACAGAAAACACGGGACACGCAGGCCTGTGAGGAAGGTAATGAGTTGCTGTAGTAAGGGACCTTACTAGGCATGGTAAGGGACCTGCTAGGAATGAGGTCTCCTCTCGGTCATGAGGACCTCTGCGTCAACACAGTGGATGGGTTTGAAGACAGAAGGTCTACAAATTCCCATTGGCTATCTATGATGGATAACGAATTACCCCAAATTTAGTGCCTTAAAATAACAAACACTTAGTGCCTCACAGTTTCTGTGGGTCAGGAGGCAGCACAGCTAGATAGTTCTGGCTAAGGGTCTCTGGAGAGTCTGTGGTTGGGGCGCCTGGGTGACTCAATTAAGCAACGGTCTTCAGCTCAGGTCATGATCTCAGGATCCCGGGATAAGGCCCTGCATTGGCTCCGTGCTCAGCGGGGAGTCTGCTTCTCCCTCTCCCTCTGCCTGGCCCCTACTCGACTCACTCTCTCTCTCTCAAATAAATAAAATCTTAAAAAAAAAATTTCTCAACGATCGTCTCAACGTTCGACTCCTCGAGGATCCACTTCCGTGCTCACTCCCGTGGTTGCAGCAGGCCAAGTAGCGTCAGGACATGGTGGCTGGTTTCACCCAGAGCAAACACTTTGAACACAACAAAAGAGAGGGAGGGCGAGAGAGATGCAAGGGAAAAAATACTCAAGGTGGAAACTACAGTCTGCTGTGTCCTATTTTATAGAAACAAGTCACACTCGAGGGGAGGGGAATGAAGCACCATTGCTTAAATATCCAGGAATTTCTGGGCATGTATCTTATTTTTTTATAGCAGCACAATATCACAGCCAGATTATGAGCTTTCCCAAAGCCTAGTGATGAATTAGGCCACCTCTTCTTCCCTACCACCAGCTCAAAAACCATATACCTACAGAGTGCTCCAAGGTACATAGCAACCTTCAGTCTCGCAATGAATTAATTCCCTAAGCTACCGTTCTAGCTCATCTCCTCTTCTCCCTTCCGCCTGTCCCTGCTCCAGCCACTTGCTCCCTGCAAACACCACTGTGCTCCTTTAAGGCATGCCTTTGCTTTGGTCTACAAGTCTGGTTCTCAACCTCAAATTCAGAAGTCACATGTGACTCCCCTAACGCTCTTCTCAGAACGCTAGAAAACGCTGGCACACCTGGCCTCCCACAAAATTCAGAATACCGTGCTAAAATGAAGACCCTGTGACATGAAATTCTAGAACAGATGAGTGAGAGCAGGTGCTGAAGGTTTAAAAACATTCCTTCCACAAAGTCACTATCAGAGAACAGCAGAAGAACAAGCCTTCCTCCAGGTTTGCCAAAATGGAAGGAGCATTTTGGGGGAAACAACAGACATGGAAAGCCCCCCTACTCCCATTCTTTCAGCTCTCAAAAATGTCCACAGCTAGTTGCAAAAAGACGAGAATCATCTTGTATGTCCATCAAAATGCTCCTAAATAAACAGTTCACCTACACGATAGAAGGGAGTTTTTAAAGACGAGGCAGAGCACTAGGTACCGACGTGGACAATCTCCAAGATACATGCATTCGGAGTAAAAGACAACGTACAGTGCAGCGGGTACACTAGACGACTATCTGCTTTCCAAAAAAGATGATTAATGGCTGCCTGGGAGGCTCGGCCGGTTAAGCGTCTACCTTCCGCTCAGGAAGATCCCAGGGTCTTGGGCTCAAGCCCCGTCTTCGGCTCCCCGCTCGGCGAGGAGCCTGCTTCCCCTTCTGTCTGCTCTCCCTGCCACTCCCCCTGCTTGTGCTATCAAATAAATACGTAAAATCTCAAAAAGGAAAGAGTACGTTTAATCCCACGCATCCATAAAGAGGAAGAAGTATGTATTTCCTAAGGAACATCCCTGGAAGGCCCAGGTGGCCGCGGGGGGACCTCGGGGGACGCGGGGTGGGAGGGGCTTCTACCTTCTCCCGCCTCGGATTATTCCAGCCGGCACGCTCCGCCCGCGACCGGAGGCCCAGGAGAGACCCGCGCCCCCGGCCTCCGAAGCGGAGGCGGCGGGTGGCAGGCCAGGCCTCGCGCTCTCCCCGCGCCCCTCCCCCTCATCCAGGCGCTCGCTCTAGTCCCTCCGCGCAGAGTGAGAGCCAGGAGTCACCAGGAGGCTCCCGCGCGTCACGCGAGACACTGGGACCCCAGGCGCGCCCGCTAGCTCGGTTCACTCGAGCCGCCAAAACTCCGCAGCGGCGACTTCCTGGGTCTTGACCCCGCGCTCCCGGACGTGACGCGAGAGGTCGGTCCCGCCCCCCAACTTCCGGCTACGGGCCTGAGCTCGCGCGTGCGCACGGGGAGCCAGGCCCGGGTACCGCGCGCACGGCCGCACGAGGTGCGAGCGACATGGAGGGTTCCGCTTCCACCGCACCCTCATCCTCAACCGCAGCCTCGGACTCCGCTGGCGCGACCCCGGCCTCCGTGGAGCAGCTGGACAAAGGACAGGTGAGCGGCCCTTTGGGGCGCGAGGCTCGGAAGGCGGAGTGGCTGGGGGCTTGTGAGACGCGGGGTGCCGGTGCGGGCTTCGCGCCCCCGCGGGCGCCCCCGGAGTTTGGGGAGAGTCGCTGGGTCGCGCTGCGCTCAGCCTGCCGCCTCCTTCCTGCGCGCAGGGAGGCGCCTGCCGACCCCCAGCCCTGCGGCCTGGTCCCCCAGGTAGATTGCAGGTGCAGCCTAGGGTTCCGGAGTGAGACGCACCTGGCTCTGCTTCTTTACCCGTTGGCTTGACCAGGTCGCTTAATTCTGCAAGCCTCAGTGACCTCGGGTCTAAGAGGGCCTCTGCTGGCTTCGGCGCCTCCCCGGGATCAGAGGAGGCGAGGCCTGTGAAGAGCTGTAGCCAGGGGCCTGACCCTTGGTAAGCGCCCAGTGGGTGCTAGTTATGGCGTGTTGCGCTTTTCCCGGGATCGCTGCCTCAATCATCGAGGCCGCGGGAAGCACGTTCCCACTTGGCGCGATGCCTTCACGTGGCAGAGGCTCTCTTTGGCAAGTGGGTGCTGAGCGGATACTTCGGTGGTTTCTGATGGAGTCTGATCTCAGATTGTAGGATCCTAATACAGAGGGTTGTGGAGTTGCCTATTCAAATAGAATTTGAGGAGGAAGAAGAAAAGGAAAAAAGGCGAGAGGAGGGAGCAAATGCTAAGTTAGAGTGAGATTTAATTTATTTGCATATCTCTACTTTGCAGATTAGAAAGGCAGTGGAAGCTCTGTTGACACATTCCAAGTCCAGGAAAAACGCGAATGGATTGCTTTTGAATGAGAATGAAAATTTCTTTTTAATGGTGGTATTGTGGAAGATTCCAAGTAAAGAACTGAGGGTCAGATTGTAAGTTCTGATTTTCTACATTTGTCCTTGTTATCTGCTCGGTCATTCTGTAGAGCTGTAACAGTTGCGCTTTTGTTTCTGGTGGAAATTTTGCAAACTCAAATTATGAGTTGAAACATGTAATTGTGCCTTTAAAAACAAAAACAAAAACACGGGATCGCCTGGGTGGCTCAGTGGATTAAGCCTCTGCCTTCCGCTCAAGTCATGATCTCAGGGTCCTGGGATCGAGCCCCGCATCCGGCTCTCTGCTCAGCATCCCCCATCACCATCTCTGACTGCCTCTCTGCCTAGTTGTGATCTCTCTCTATCTCTGTCAAATAAATAAATAAAATCTTTAAAAATAATATAACCCCTTGTGTATTACCTTGGGTGGCTTCATTATGTTTTAAGTCTCCTTATATCCCACATAGTAATTGATACTTTATTTGGTGGGGGAGGGCCCTGGGAAGCAGCAGAGAAAGAATCTAAAGCAGACTCCACACCTGGGGTGGAGCCCAGTGCAGGGGTCGATCTCATAACCCTGAGATCCTGACTTGCGCCAAATCAAGTTGGACCTGTAACCACCCAGGCACCCTCAGTTGATATCTTGGAGTTTGGGTATTTGTGATGGTTTACTTGCATCTTAAATCTCTTCTCTGTACCATTGAAGACTACATACATTTTTAAATGTTCTTGGTGGAGTATTTGCTTTAAATAGCGTGGACATAGTTTGTCGGAATGACTGAATTTATTGTGTCCTGTGGAATAGAAACATACATTGTGTTGTGTCTGTTATAATGCTTGCTTTCTCTGTTCCATCTCTATGTTTTGCAGGTCCTTGCCTCACAGTATTCGATCAGATTTAACAGATATTTGTTTACTTACCAAGGATGAACCCAACTTAACTCCTGAAAAGACGGAACGTTTTTACAAGAAGCTTTTGAACAAGCATGGGATTAAAACCATTTCTCAGGTCAGGAGCGGTTAATATTTTCAGGACAATTAAAAGAGCAGAGTCGGTCCTTAAAGTGATAAGTCATGCATTCCTGTACTACCTGCTAACCTAGTATTTCTGTCCTAGAGATTTTATTTTTATTTATTTAGCCATTCATTCATTCATTTTAAAAATTTCATTTTTGCATAATCTCTCCACCCACTGTGGGGCTTAAACTCACGACCCTGAGATCAAGAGTCATGTGCTTCACTGACTGAGCCAGCCAGGCGCCCCTAGGAATTTAATTCTTTTTGTCTTTTTAAGATTTCTTATTTATTTATTTGACAGACAGAGATCACAAGTAGGCAGAGAGAGGCGGGGAAGCAGGCTCCCTGCTGAGCAGAGAGCCCGATGCGGGCCTCGATCCTAGGACCCTGAGACCATGACCCGAGCTGATGGCAGAGGCTCAACCCAACTGAGCCACCCAGGCGCCCCAGGAATTTAATTTTTAATCTTATTTTTTTTCTTTATAGTTTTTGTTGGCTTCAGTAAAGTATGTTCCATCTTTTCTATGATAGATGAACTGTTAAGGTTTTGTTTGTTTGTTTGTTTTGACCTAAAAGCTAATGTGTACATAAGTAACTTTTTTTTCTTTTTTTGAGATTTCATTTATTTATTTGAGAGCGCATAAGCCAGGGTAGAGGGAGAAACAGACTCCCCACTAAGCAGGGAGCCCAATGCCGGGCTGGATCCCAGGACTCTGGAATCATGACGTGAGCCAAAGGCAGAGATGCTTAACCAACTGCCACCCAGGCGCCCCGTCCTTAACTTTCGTATCTTGAAGAGTTTCCAGAAGATAGTTCCATTAGGTCCCAGTCAGCACTTTCAGAACGTTCCCGGGTTTGCCTGTGACTCAGCGCCTCCCGTTGTGGTTTGTAGTTGCTGGTGTCCTTTCGTTATAGGCCGTCCCAGCTCATCAGTCTCTGTGTCCCCAGTGATTAACACAGTGCCTGGCCCGCGCTCGGCGCTCTCTGCGTGTTCCCTAAACTGTGGCCCTGGGACATTTTAAGATTCGGACACAAGTTATTGCTTCAGTTTTCTTCTTCTTGTTCAAGTTCTTAACTTTTTGTGTTTTTCCTCTTCCTTGTGTTTTTTTAGATTATCCCCCTCCGAACTTTAAAAAAGGAGTATAAAGCCTATGAAGCCAAGCTCCGCCTCCTGGGCAGTTTTGACTTCTTCCTTACCGACGCGAGAATCCGGCGTCTCTTGCCGTCCCACCTGGGGAGACATTTCTACCACAGAAAGAAGTAGGTTTCTTACCAGTAACGGGGTTTGAGCAGAATGAACTTCGCAGATTGTATACATTCTGCTCCAAGTGCCTGTGTGTTCTTACAGAGTTCCGGTACCTGTAAACCTTCTGTCCAAGAATTTATCCAGGGAGATCAATGAATGCATCGGTGGAACAGTCTTAAACATCTCTAAAAGTGGTTCTTGCAGGTAGGTCAAAGCTATCAGTGTCTCGTTTTCTATCCACTTGATAATAATTATATAATTTTTTTTTTAACAAGATCATGTTAATGAAACCAGATCCTTCTGTTAAAAGTAAGGTATATCCCTAAGAAGTACTTGGTTCCCTAGAAAAGCGCCATCCCATAGAACTTTGTACAGTGATGGAAGTGGTCTGTATCTGGGATCTGCATAAGAGTCCTGAGCACGGGGCACGTGGGTGGTTCAGTGGGTTAAAGTCTCTGCCTTTGGCTCGGGTTATGGTCTCAGGGTCCTGGGATAGAGCCCTACATTGGGCTCTCTGCTCGGTGGAGAGCCTGCTTCCTCCTCTCTCTTCTGCCTTCTTGTGATCTCTGTCAAATAAATAAATAAATAAAATCTTTAAAAAAAAAAAAAAAGGAGTCATGAGCTGTATATGGCTGCCGTGGCCAAGGAGCTGAATTTCTAATTTTACTTGATTTCACGTAATGTAAACTGAAATAGGCATGTGTGGCTAGTGGCACCTGTAGGTATTGTGGGAAACGAGGACAAAATTAACACGTAGTGAACGTCAGTGGTTCTGGGCTCTCGTGTTGCCTGGGATCATGTTACCCGTTACAGGGGAGAGACCCCTAAGTCTTTTTTTTTTTTTTTTTTTTTTTTTAAGATTTATTTATTTGACAGATAGAGATCACAAGTAGGCAGAGAGGCAGGCAGAGAGAGAGAGGAGGAAACAGGCTCCCTGCCAAGCAGAGAGCCAGATGTGGGGCTCGATCCCAGGACCCTGGGATCATGACCTGAGCCGAAGGCAGAGGCTTTAACCCACTGAGCCACCCAGGCACCCCAAGACCCCTAAGTCTTGATTTGACTTCTTGTTCAGTGAATTCATCATCCGTCCTGCCTCATCTGCTGTATGGTGTCTCTTTGTTTTCACACTGATTTATTCTGAATCAGGATGGCAAGCTGGGTAGAACCCCCCCACATCTGGCCTCTGAGATCAGGAGAGACCTTTTGGGGAGGTGTGGCTCTCCGGGTGGACAGAGAATGTGGCTCCACCTTTTTTAATTCGCCAAGGGGCCGGTTAAGTTGGAGCACTTGGCAGATGAGCAGAAGGAGGGGATTTTTTTTTTTTTTTAATCATATAATGTATTATTTGCCCCAGGGGTACAGGTCTGTGAATTGCCAGGTTTACACACTTCACAACACTCACCATAGCACATACCCTCCCCAATGTCCATAACCCAACCTCCCTCTCCCTGCCCCCTCCCCCTGGCAACCCTCAGTTTGTTTTGTGAGATTAAGAGTCTCTTATGGTTTGTCTTCTTCCCGATCCCATCTTGTTTCATTTATTCTTTTCCTACTCCCCAAATCCCCCATGTTGCCTCTCAATTTCCTCATATCAGGGAGATCATATGATAATTGTCTTTCTCTGATGGACTTATTTCGCTCAGCATAATACCCTCTAGTTCCATCCACGTCGTTGCAAATGACAAGATTTCATTTCTTTTGATGGCTGCATAGTATTCCGTTACATATATATTTATATACACACACACACACACCACATTTTCTTCATCCATTCATCTGTTGATGGACATCTAGGTTCTCTCCATAGTTTGGCTGTTGTGGCCATCGCTGCTGTAAACATTCGGGTGCACGTGCCCCTTCAGATCACTCCGTTTGTATCTTTAGGGTAAATACCCAGTAGTGCGATTGCTGGGTTGTAGGGTAGCTCTGTTTTCAACTTTTTGAGGAGCCTCCATGCTGTTTTCCAGAGTGGTTGCACCAATTTGCATTCCCACCAGCAGTGTAGGAGGGTTCCCCTTTCGAAGGAGGGGATTTTTTTCTTTTTTTTTTTTTAAAGATTTTATCCATTCATTCGACAGACATCACAGGTAGGCAGAGAGGCAGGCAGAGAGAAAGGGGGAAACAGGCTCCCCGCTGAGCAGAGAGCCGGATGCAGGGCTCGATCCTAGGACCCCAGGATCACAAACTGAGCCGAAGGCAGAGGCTTTAACCCACTGAGCCACCCAGGCGCCCCGAAGGAGGGGATTTTTAAACATATTTAGAATCATTTTGAAAAATTACCTTCTGACTGGGCATGTGTGGTGTGGGGTTGGGCAGCTGCCAGGAGGCCACCACTGGGGGGCTCTGGGGCCTCTCTTCCAGATACCCCAGGAACTTCTGCATGCCCAAGGCAGGGCCCATGGTAAAATGGGACCATCAGGATGTCTAGACTCTGCTTCCCTGGGATGGTTCTGGGCTTGTCTTCTGTCTGCAGGTGGGCAATCCCTTAACTGGGTGTAGTAAAGCTGCTGAGAAGAGTTGGTGGTCAGGCCTGGGCCCGACTCTGGTTGTAGGCAGACATCAAAGTCGTGGCTCGTGGGAGGTGGTCCCGAGGGCAGGTCAGAGGCCTGGGGGCCTGGGATTGGTGGTCAGCTGCGAGAGGGAGATGGCTCCGAGAAGGCAGAGGAAGGAGCAGCGGTCTCCTCTTTCCCTTTAGGAGAGTTGTGGGCAGCTGACGGACAGTACAGACGCCTGAGCTGTACTTTGCTCTCCTTTCACACCCACTGTCCTCCCGACTCCCCTCATTCTCTCTCTTTTCCTTTCTCCTGTCCCGTCACCTGCCCCCTCTCCTGTCTCCTTCAGTTCTTGTCATCTTCCTGTCTGGGAGACCGGGGATGTGCTTGCAGCTGGCAGTGAGCCCTCAGTGGGCAGAGCCCTGTCTTTGGCTGGAGGGGTGTGACAGCACCAGCCCCATCTTGTCCTCATTCTGTGACCCTCAGCAGACCATGAGTTTGCCTTCCAGCTCCTGAGGTAGGGAGGACAGGGCCTGGCAGGAACAGGGCCCCAGTGGGTGAGCAGTAGCGGAGCTTTCCACTTGGCTTCTGTCTACACCCCGCTTCAGCTGAAGGGATCATCTTGCCCTTGGCATGAAGACGCTGTTACACCAGGGACAAGAACTGTTGGTCTTAGATGATGACAGCTGGGTCAGGACAGGGGACTGTAAAGACACAAGCATCCCTCCCAGCGGTCTTTCCTTCCAGAACAGCTCCTCCTCAGGAAAGCTTGAGGGCCAACTGTGTGACCCATGTTTTCTAGAATGAAAGTAGAACTTCCTCCAGCTGATGGCTGATAAGCCTCCCAGGGCAGCTCCTCCTTCACCGGGTCATGGTATTTTGGGAGCAGGGCATTGCTAGAACACAAAAGATCATAATTTCCCTTTACAATATATTGAACCTGGGGCGCCTACATGGCTCAGGTGGTTCAGCGTCTGCCTTCAGCTCAGGTCATGATCGCAGTGTCCTGGGATCGAGCCACGGGTTGGGCTCTCTGCTCAGTGGGGAGTCTGTTTCTCCCTCTCTCTCTGCTGCTCCTGCTTGCTCATATGCTCTCTATCTCTGACAAGTAAATAAAATCTTAAAAAAAAAAACAAACATGAAACTAAGCAAAACAAGTCAGTCACAGAAAAACAGTTACTGTATGATCTCACTGATAGGTGGAAATTTTTTTTTTAAGATTGTATTTATTTATTAGACAGAGGCAGGCAGAGCGGGGGTGGGGGTGAAGCAGGCTCCCCGCCAAGCAGAGAGCCCGATGTGGGGCTCGATCCCAGGACCCTGAGATCATGACCTGAGCCAAAGGCAGAGGCTTTAACCCATTGAACCACCCAGGTGCCCCTGACAGGTGGAATTTAAGAAACAAAACAGGATCGTAGGGAAGGGAAGGAAAAATAAGACAAAACCAGAGAGGGAGACAAACCATAAGAGACTCGTCATCACAGGAAACAAACTGAGGGTTGCTAGAGGGACGGGGGGTGAGGGAGGAGGTAACTGGGTGATGGGCATGAGGGAGGGCACGTTATGCTGTGAGCACCGGGCATTATACAAGACTGATGAACCACTGACCTCTACCTCTGGAACTAATAATACACTATGTTAATTGAATTTAAACAAAATAATAGTTGTATAAAACAACTATAAAAAGAGAAATAGTGGAACCACAAAGACTTGAACGCTTCTACCTTTAATTTTTTTCCTCAGGATCATGTATTTATGTTTCTTGCTTACCTGCCTGTGCTGTATTTTGAAACATAAATTACTATTATTTTTAAAACTTTCCTGTCTCATGCTGTGTTACATTTCAGCACTATCCGCGTTGGCCACACTGGAATGGAGGTTGAGCACGTTGTCGATAACATCATCACCGTGGCGAAGAGGCTTTCCCAAAAGTTGCCAGAGGTGCGGTCCCACGGGGGCATGCCTTGACTCTTGCTCTTTAAAAGAAACGGGACCCGCACCGATCGTACCTTTCTTGTCTGTTGCAGAAGTGGGAGAGCGTGAAGCTCTTGTACGTGAAAACCGAGAGGTCCGCTTCCCTGCCCATCTTTTCCTCGTTTGTCAGCTGTCAGGATGAAGCCAAGGGCATATGCACCCCCAGTCAGAAGAAGAAGGTGAGTAGGGTTTAAAATACCGGTGGGCTTCCTCCCAGATAGAAACATGGCCCAGGAAGAGGAGCAGATGTCCTTCCTGCCTGACCTTCAGTGGCTGCCCAGTGGTCTTGCTTTGCGTGCGTTGTCCCCACTCTACAGATGAGCTCCGTTTGCGGGGGTGTGAGTAAAGCGTAACAAGGTACAGGTACCTTGTGTTTATCGGTACATTAGTTAAGTGGCCGAGTAGGCTCAGTGGGGGCCTGTGTAGAGGCAAGAGAGGCTGAAAGAAAACAGGAAGTTCATTAAGCACTTTTTTTTTTAAGATTTCTATTTATTTACTTGACAAAGATCACAAGTAGGCAGAGAGGCAGGCAGAGAGAGAGGAAGAAGCAGGCTCCCTGCTGAGCAGAGTCCAATGTGGGGCTTGATCCCAGGACTGTGGATCATGACCTGAGCCAAAGGCAGAGGCTTAACCCAGTGAGCCAGCCAGGCGCCCCTGGATCCTTATTTTAAATGTTTTGTATGTAGTTGGTTCTTTGATGCCTTTAAGATTTTTTTAAAAATTATTTTTTAGGGGCGCCTGGGTGGCTCAGTTGGTTAAGCGACTGCCTTCGGCTCAGGTCATGATCCTGGAATCCCGGGATCGAGTCCCACATCGGTCTGCCTGCTAGGCAGGGAGTCTGCTTCTCCCTCTGACCCTTCCCCTTCTCATGCTCTCTCTCTCTCTCTCTCTAATAAATAAAATCTTAAAAATAAAAAAAATTAAAAAAATAAAAATAAAAAATAAAAATTATTTTTTATTTTTTTAAGATTTATTTATTGGACAGAGAGAGATCACAAGCAGGCAGCAAGGCAGGCAGAGAGGGGGAAGCAGGCTCCCCGCTGAGCAGAGTCCAAAGTGGGGCTTGATCCCAGGACTGTGGGATCATGACCTGAGCCAAAGGCAGAGGCTTTAACCCACTGAGCCACCCTGACGTCCCCCTGCAAAAAAAAATTTTTTAAATATATTCTGCCCTACTTTTTTTACTTATTTTCATTGGGAAGATGACCCAGGATAACAGACTGCTGTTACCAGAAGCAAGAAATCTGAATTTTTTTGCCGTTTGTCCGATTCATTTGAGAACTTGGAGAAAATGTTGGGATTGCTGGTTAAAATGTTGGAACCGCTGGTTAAAATGGGTCGGACACGGTCAGGGATATTGTTGACCGGGACTCTGGTTAGGACAACGGACCTCTAGCTGTGGAAACGTTTTACTGTTTCCACTTAAAGCCAAAACTCTGAAGTCAGGAAAAAGTGATCAGTTGTGGGGGTTTTTGGGAAACCGTTTTATTGAGACATAAATCACATCAGAGTGCTCTACAACTGAGGATAATTCTTAATTCCCCCGTGAACGAGATCAGCTTTCACGGAAGCTCCAGCCGCACACCTGGGTTTAGAGTCCCAGCGTGTAATTCCCAGAGCGGGCATCCTCGGCTGCGAGCTACAGCCAGACTGGAGTTGAGGCTCACGTGCCCGTCGTAGGGTTTGTTTGCTTGGAGTTGGTACACATTGAGGCAGTTTGCAGTAGCATAGGGTGCATTAGAGCTGCACGTGCTGAGTCTCTGCTGTTTATGTGCCAACGAGCGTGTTCCTTACTGAAGTTACGCTTGGGCTTGTGTGTGTACGGTTTTGTTTATTTTTTGTAGGAAGCAAAGAAAAAACAAAAACAAAAAGAGTATCGTGAAAAACAAAAAGAGAAGAAGAAAAACAAAAGGCTTATGAAACAGGCTGGGAAGACTCCGTCGGGCCCAGAGAAGGAGGATGTGAACCCTAAAACTAGTGGAACTACAGCACCGACCCCTGCCCCTGCCCCCGCCCCCCAGAAGGAGGGGTCCGGAGCCCGTGAGAAGAAAGAGGGCCGTCGAAGGAAAGCTCAGTCGAAGGTGCAGGAGGAATCCGAAGACGAGATCCCTGTGCTGGTGCCGATAGGGGAGACACCAGCCAAAGGAAACGTAGAGGTACTGTCATTGGTTTTCATTGTAATTGTAGGAAACACTGCCTGTGGTTTTAACGAGCAGGCCAGGGCAGAAACGTGGGCAGTGGTTTCGTTGCTGACGGAGAGTCCTGGATCCCCCGTGTCATCAGCCTTAGGAAACTTAGCAGGGCAGGGCGGCTCGCATGCGTGCTCCCGAAACCTCTCCGGCACCCCAGCCACGCGGGCTCTGGAAATCCCAACTGCGTGGGTTTCACGGGAACAGTTAAAGGAACAGAATTTTTTAACTTTTTGATTCCTTGGTATAGTTTTTCCTCGTTCTCAGTGTCCGTCCAGCTAGGAGAAGGTCTGTTGAACATGCGGAGGAAGAAAGGGGATGCTGAGGGCCCGGACAGCTGTTCTCACCACGGGTGCAGCCTGCATGTCCCTGGTGTGAGGCGTGGCCTTAGGAGGTGGGAGTGACCATCCCAGGGCTAGCCCTGCCCTTGACCGATTGGGTTCTTTGTCCAGTAGTGGCAGTCCTTAGAATTGTCAGGATGTTGGAGTTTTCATGTTGGTGAAAGTACTCCTTGTGCAGGTGTCCCCGGAGTTCCTCTGAGTTTTTAAGTCTGCTCGAAGCTAACACAAAGGATCTGTGTACCCGGGAGCATTGTAGTTGTTTTTGGAGAAAGCACACTGTGTGTGTTTCCAGAGGACAGGATGTGACATGTTGCAGATTGGAAGAGCGGATAGCTGACTGGCCGGTGTGTAGCTCGAGCTGTAGAAGTGTGTTCGTGTATACAGAAGCCTCCTTCTCGTTTGCCAGTGAGGCGCAGAGGAGGACATGTCATGGGCCTTTCCGGTCGTTTTTATAAGTAATTTGAGATGACGTTCAGTAAGAAAATACAGAGCCCTCAGTGAGTTAAAGCCTCTGCCTTCGGCTCAGGTCATGATCTCAGGGTCCTGGGATCGAGCCCCGCATCGGGCTCTCTGCTCAGCAGGGAGCCTGCTTCCCCCGCCCCCATCTCTGCCTGCCTCTCTGCCTACTTGTGATCTCTCTCTGAGTCAAATAAATGAATAAAATCTTAAAAAAAAAAAAAATACAGAGCCCTTGGGAATGCTAATGAAGTAACTAGGGAAAGGGCATAACATTTGGCATTCATTCATTTAAGATTTTTTATTTGAGAGAGAGAGCATGGATAGAGGGGTGTAGAGGGAGAAGCAGAGTCCCCGCTGAGCAGGGAGCCCGACATGGGGCTCCATCCCAGGACCCCGATACCATGACCCCAGCTGAAGGCAGACACTTGACCAACTGAGCCAACCAGGTTCCCCAACATTTGACTTCTAAATGAATGCACACCTCTGGGGGAAAGTAGTGAATGATAGGTAGTTAATATGATGTGCTGAAGTTGTCAGAGAATTTTGTTTCTTGTATTTCTTACGTTTTCCAAATTTCCCATAACAATCCTACCGTTTTATATTTACTGAAAAGCAAACTTTGCTTTGCTGGCTGTTTTTGCCTCTCTGACTTCCTCCCATATTGGACGCGTCTGTCACTAGAGTGCTGTCCAGCAGCTGTCATCTCGGCTCCAGAGGATCCTGGAACATGTTGTCCTCCAAGACCTTCTCAGTCTGCCTTGGGAAGCAGGGCTTCCTGAGAGGCAGCCCGCATGGTTTTTACACAGACAGTTTGGCAAACTCCTGTCCTCACCCACAGACAAGGAATGTACACCTGAAGATGGAGAAGAGTCAGGATTGGGCCACAGGCTCCTTGTGGTGCTCCCAGTGGGCGCTTCTCGGCGTCTCTCCAAAAGGCAAAGACGGTTCTCTGTTGACCAGACCTGGGAGAGCAGCACCAGGGTCCTTGCTACCATCCATAATGATGGAAAACAGTTACCTTTCAAAATGCCTGCGCGCCAAAAGGCAAAGCCATCCCTCATCTTATCACACTGTAGTATCCCTTTCGGGGGTGACATGATAAAGATGACAGTGACATGATACCAGTTCTCAGATGGGCACTTTCAGGGTTTGTCTTCCCTTGGACTTAACTCTGCTTTTCCTTAGGTGCAAAAACACACCGCAGGAAAGAAGTCTCCAAAAAAGAGTCCTGCTCTCAGCACACCCCGTGGGAAGAAGAGAAAGGCTTTTCCGGGTTTGGAGACCCCAAAGGCTGTGGAGCCCAAGACCCCAGGCAGTGGCCCGGGGAAGAAGCCAAGAATCAAAGAAGACACAGAGAAAGAAAAAAACTCTTCACAGGGGAAAAAAGACCCAAGACAGATGACCAAAAAGCCAGGGGCCAAGTTCTTCACCACTGCTAGTAAATCTGCGAAAAAAGCTCCCCGCACTCCCAAACAGTGGCCCAAAAAGCCCAAAGTACCCCAGTCGACCTAAAAATCCAGAGACTCAGGCAGAAGGGAGCATCCACATTCCCCAAAGAGCTTTTTAAAAATGCAGGGTCCTGAGCCCCACACCATGCAGTCTTCTCCGGGAGTGAGGCCCAGACTTCAATATTTTTTAAAACCTCCGCAAGTAGTTCTGACATCCGTTTGTGCGCGTGAAAACCGGTAGTTTTGAAGTAAATCCATTTTTTTAAGTTGGTCTTCTGCGCATTTGCTAATAGGACAGAGGGGAGTATAGTGCTCTCTGGCTGGTACTACAGCGTGCCGTAGGCTTCTGAGCAGAGTGTCCGCCTTCCCCACCTTGTCGGTTTTCCTGGAACCCCTCCGACGTGATCCTTTCCCGCCCGCTTTCCACCATCTGTTCTCGGAGGCTCCTTTACACTCGCCTGTGCAAACCCTCCCAAAGCTCGTCCGCAGGCCTGGGATGGGCCCGCTGCCAACACTCGGCTCTGGCACTTCGGAGCGAGTCTTGGGTTTTTGGAAAGGACCCTTGAGATCCAAATCACGGATTTCGGTGGCAGTCCGCCACGGCTGTGGGTCACCGAGGCAGTGTGCGTTTGGTGGGTGGAGGCAAGAAATACATGCCCGTCTTCCTCCAGACCCGTCGTCCACCTGCGCGCATTTACTCAAGTGTACACTGTGTACCTTCTGCGTGACTGTCCGGTAGATGTGTTCTGAAGCAGTAAGTGACTCTTGGGGTGCTCAGCCTCTCCCTGGATTTGATTGGGGGTCCCCATCCCTGGCTGTAAGCCATGGACGCGCTGTCCTAATGGCCAGTGACGCGTGCTTTCCAGAAAGATCACATGGTTCGGAAACAAGGCAAGCTTCCAGGGGTCTTCCTCCTGAGTCAGGAGCCAGACCACCTGCTTTTTTGGTACCACAAAGTAGACGGTAACATTTACTTTTTAAATCACAAAAGTCTCTAAAACGCGGAATTTGTATTTCCGCTGGCCTCATAGGCTCTCGAGTGTGCGTTTACTGTCAAGGGCAAGTGTCATCAATGGGTTTTCCATAGAAACGAGGTGCTGTGGGGACGCGGCCAGACGGGCTTCAGAGATGGAGATTCAAGTGCCGTTTTGAAGAGGGAAACAACGTTGTCAGGCTAGTCCGTTCTCTACAGGACGTAATTTTGCAGGGGAGAAGCTGTATGGTGTTTTCATCCCAACCTCTAGCCAAATAAAGATTTTGCAACACCAAGTGATTCTCCGGTCTGCGGTTTGGTCCTGATCGAATGTAAGGCAGCATTTTACCTTCCTGTCCCCTGTGCCTCAGGTTTCACTCATAAGTTCTCTGCAGTGGAAATGGCAGACTTGCTTAAACTTCCCTAAGCAGGATGCGTGTTTTTTGTTTTTTGTTTTTTGTTTTTGTTTTTGACAAGGGAAAGCCACAGTTGGGGCATTGGTGAAAATTCGGAATCGCAATGAAAAGGCACAAGTCATTGCTGCTAGGTTTCTAAGGCTCAGGCATGATCCCAGCTGACTGACAAGGCTGGGAGTGGTCAGTGGTCTCCCTAGGGGCCGAGAGGAGTGCAGGAAATCTCCACTACAGTGAGTCACGCTCTTGGGTTCAAGAGGTGAGTATGTGGCTATCTTTTGGGTTTGGTTTTTTTGTTTGTTTTTTTTTAATGATTTATTTTTTAGAAAGAGTTTGGAGAGAGTGCAAGCTGGGGGAGGGGCAGAGGGAGAGAGAGAGAGAGAGAATCTCAAGCAGACTCCACACTGAGCGTGGAGCCTGACGTGGGGCTCAATCCCACAACCCTGAGATCATAACCTGAGCCAAAACCATAAATCATACACTTCAGTGACTGTGCCGCCCAGTGCCTTAATCAAGTATGGAAGGGTTTTAAATAGCAAACAAATCTTTGGCCATTTTATTAAATATGTGAAGGGTCTGCTTTGTCTACATTTCTTTCTCTTTAAATCGCTGCTGTTTTCAGGTCACCCGAGTGGCTTATTCAAGCATCCGACTCTTGACCTTAGCTCAGGTCTTGAGCTCAGGGTCGTGAGTTCAGGTACCACATAGGGCTCTACATTGGTGTGGAGCCTACTTAAAATCGCTACTGTTTTGGCTGTGTTAACACACAACATCAAGATTCCCTGTAGGACTTTAGGAAAAAATAAGAGGTCCTCATCAATCCTTGGGTTTTATTTTTATTTTACTTTTATTTTTTAAAGATTGTATTTACTTGACAGAGACAGCAAGAGAGGGAACACAGCAGGGGGAGTGGGAAAGGAAGGAGCAGGGAGCCCGATGTGGGGCTCCATCCCAGGACTCTGGGATCATGACCTGAGCCGAAAGCAGAAGCTTAACCTACTGAGTCACCCAGGCGTCTCAAATTTTAATTTTCTGTGACTCTAAAGCTCTAAGTATTAACTCTGGTCTAAGACAGTTCTAGTTACTAGTATACAATTGGTCAAATGGTGTATATTACGTATTTTGATAAGATTTTCATTTTTTGCTACTTGTACGCATTAGCAGCACCTCTCTCGGTGAGCTGGGTCTTTTCTCTTGCACATGTTTCCACGAACGACTTTTCCTCACGGTTACAAGGAGACATGGTTCAGCCTGCTTTGGCTTGCTATGTTTTTTTTTTTACAGATTTAAGTGCAGAGAAACCTTACATTGCTGGGTGGAAATGGAACGAGGCTTCTAGCAACGTGGCTCATTCTTTGGCTTTGTTCAGAGCTGCTCAGATATGCACAATTCTTAGAGTGACGCACCACTGAATTATTTTTACCGAGCTGAAAAGTCTATTCATTCTTCTATTTGAGGATGAGGAAGTCTTGAAAGCAAAAATTGGCAAACGTGGGACCAGTTTAACAAGATTACCAGTCACTAGTCATTCATTTTCTTAGCACAGGTATCATATATTTTGAACTTTTCCTAGGTTTTCTGTCCTGAAGGTTTAACAGAAAAAAAAACAAACGAACAGAAACCAAACCTCTGTACACTGTTATTCTTCCCTTAAATGGGAGAAAGGCAGGTTTGTTTTTTTTAAGATTTTATTTATTTATTTGACAGAGATCACAAGTATGCAGAGAGGCAGGCAGAGAGAGGGGGGAAGCAGGCTCCCTGCCGAGCAGAGAGCCTGATGCGGGGCTTAATCCCAGGACAGTGGGATCATGACCTGAGCCTAAGGCAGAGGCTTAACCCACTGAGGCACCCAGTGCCCCAGAAGGGCAGTTTTGAAAGGGGACATTTTGCAGGTTGTTGGGCATTGCTGCTGCTGGCTGGCTCAGTGAGGGAGAGTGTGTGACTCTTGATCCCAGGGTTCTGAGTTCGAGTCCCATGTTGGGTGTAGCGATTACTAAGAATAAACTTAAAAACAAACAACAACAACAACAACAAAAACAAAGCACCTATAAAAGTTGAGGACCTGGAAACTTCCCTTTAAGCTCTCATGCCTCTGTGATTCCCCGAAAGTCCCGGGGGACTCTGTGCCCCAGTTTGAAGACCACTATTACAGGTGGTGGACCAGAATGAGAACTGAGGGAGCAAATAAGTATGTTAGACCTCAGTTTCTTGCTAGTTACACTTGGCACTGGGTTCCCCACTCACAGAAAACACACAGTTCCCTCAGGCTACTGTGCAAAGTTTCCCTCCGGTCCTTCCTCTTAAATTAACTTTCATCTTTTTTTTTTAAAGATTTGATTGATTGATCAATTGATTGATAGAGCACGTGCATGAGCTGGGGGAGGGACAGAGGGAGCGGGAGAGAGCCGAGCATGGAACCGGGTGGGGGAGCTTGATCTCATCACCATGAAATCGTGACCCAAGCCGAACCCAAAAGTGAGATTCCCAACCGACCAGAGCCACCCAGGCCCCACTTCCCCTTTCACCTTGAATTTGATCACTTGTATCCACAATGTGAAAATCTAAATGTATCCTCAAGTAACGGTAGTGCCTCAGGTAGACGACCCACGCATGTTCACAGATGCCCAGCTCACGGCCCTCCGCACCTGCAATGTCCTGCCTGATCTTATCCCCAATAATCCGTTCCCACTTCCATGGGCGTGTCCTGTACCTTCATCATGGCCACTGTGATGCCCTGAAACCTCACTTCCAAGCCCCATCCTCTTACCACACAGTCTCATACTGCCCTCATTAACTTTCTCTTGTACCCTCGCCTGACAGTTCTCCCAACTCTTAGATGCCGTGCTGTCCCTACTTTCCCTCGGTGCCTTGACTTCCTTCTTGGGCCTCCCAGAGCAACGTGGGAGATAATCCCAACCTTTGCTTCCTTCCAACTCTGCATGCCTGTTAACAGGAGAGCCTGGTGCCATCGAACTTTCCACCTGTGCACGTGAATTGTCAGAGGCACAGATCATGGAGCAAAGCACACAGAGATGCGGCCTGGCCTCCTTCACAATCACGATCACCAACCTCAGAGGCCACATCTTCTGAGAGCTGTAGGTGTCCCAACTTTTAATGTCCCTCACTCCTTCAGCTCCTGCCAGAGACTGCCAGAATCTTTGTTGAGATAACTAGTGCAAGAGGAGTCCTTCGTTCTCCTTCAATGAACATTTGTGGCCCACCAAGAAAATGACAATTTACCATGCCAGCTGCTCAGCCTCAAACACACAGCAGTCCACAAGCCCCACCCAGAAGCCCCCAACATCTCCCTTTGCTCTTCAAATGATCGGAGGGCCCCTCAAAACTAGGACCTCAAAGGATTTTATGGGGCCTGAAGGCAGTGCAGGGAGCAGTAAACAGAAAAATATATACATATATATATATTTTAAAGATTGTATTTATTTGAGAGGGAGAGAACACTAGAGAGCAAGCACAAGTTGGGGGCAGAGGGAGAGGGAGAAGCAGGCTCCCCATGAGCAGAGCTCGATCCCAGGACCCTGGGATCATGATCTGAGCCGAAGACAGATGCTTAACCCACTGAGCCACCCAGGTGCCTGACAAAAACATCTTTCAACCGGTAACTGATTTTGTCAACACATAGATTGTATAAATGTAATGAGAATAGGGTGTTATCAGGGAAAAGATCAGTAAAAAGAGCAAGGAATATTAGAAATTTAAAATGAAGCATAAATTAAAATTCTAAAAAAAATTTTCTCATTAAGGTGAAGGGATATATTAAAGAGAATCTTTTTAATAGGGAAAAGTGAAAACAATGTTCAATAATAGAGAGTTTAAACAAATACACATATATACACACAAAATATATATATTTTTTTCTTCT